TATCGCCAGTCTCAAAAACAGAGCGTTGCAACCTGCACCCCTCCACAGAAAGATCGGGGGTCTGGGCGATGCTCTCTGTCGGGGTCTTCTAGCAGGTCCCTGAGGGCAACCCCACCTGGGGAGGAAAGGATAACACCTCAGTATATGGTGCCCAATCCTCCTCAGTGCCCTCACGGAGGTTCATTAATACCCCTGCCACCCTCGGTGCTTCAGGGCTCAGTGAGCTCTGACAAGCGAAAATCCCAGCTGCTGCCCGGCTATGGTAAGGCACGGGAGAGCTCGCCCCTCAAGTGAAGAGACTACAGCAGTCAGGTCGGTTGTTCCCTACCGGTCATCCGCTTCAGGGCACCGAACTGGCTCCTCTAATAAAACCAGAGGCCAGCCTCGAGAGACTGGTTCCCATAGTAGATTTTCTGGCAGTGTGGGAACTTCTGCCAAATATATCAAAATGGGTCCTGCAGGTTGTAGAGAAAGGCTACAGAATCCAGTTCGGTTCTCGTCCTCCTCGTTACAACTGGGTCATTCCCACACTAGTGGGCCCCAAGCAGGCTCTGGTAATTGAACAAGAAGTAGATACTCTCTTGAGGAAGGGGGCCATAGAACATGTTCCTCCTCTCTCTCGCTCTCTCTCTCTCTCGGGTGTCCGGGTTTTACAGTCGTTACTTCATCGTTCCGAAGAAGGATGGGGGGGTTGCGTCCGTTTTTAGATCTCTGTCTTCTGAACCGCGCTATCAAACGGCTTCGGTTCAAGATGCTCACTATCAAGCAGATAGTATCTCAAATCCAGTCTGAGGACTGGTTTGTTACGATAGATATCAAAGATGCTTATTTCCATGTGTCCAGCCTTCCTCAACACTGGAAGTTCCTGAGGTTTGCTTTCGGGGGCGAAGCATACCAAAATTTAGTTCTTCCCTTTGGCCTGTCACTCTCACCCCGCATTTTCACGAAGTGTGTGGATGCAGCTCTGGCTCCTTTGCGACTCCAGGGCATCCGCATACTCAATTACATCGACGATTGGTTGATACTAGCTCGATCGGAGCAGTTGGCGGCTCGGCATCGAGATGTCGTCCTCGCCCATATGAGAGAGCTGGGGTTAAGACTAAACGCCAAGAAGAGTGTACTTTCTCCACTACAGAGAACCACTTATTTAGGCGTGGTGTGGGATTCTACCATGATGCAGGCACGTTTGTCTCCTGCTCGTATCGAGTCAATCCTCACGACAGTCAAGAGAGTAAGAGAAGGCCAGTCACTCACTGGCAAACAGTATCAGAGGCTGTTGGGTTTGATGGTAGCGGCGTCCAACGGTATACCTTTTGGCCTGCTGTACATGAGACCCTTGCAGTGGTGGCTCAGGACCAAGGGATTTTCCCAGAGGGGGAATCCGCTTCGCATAATCAAGGTCACGCGGTGATGCTTACGTGCCTTGGACATGGGGAAGAAACGTTGGTTCCTAGTTCAAGGCCCGATGTTAGGGGCTCCTTGTCGTCGTGTAACGCTAATGACAGATGCCTCTCTCACGGGCTGGGGGGCGGTCATGAGTGGCCACTCTGCCCAGGGTCTGTGGGAAGACCATCATCTCACTTGGCACATCAACTGCCTGGAGATGCTGGCCGTGTTTCAAGCTCTGACACACTTCCTTCCAGACCTAAGGGGACATCATGTGCTTGTCCACACAGACAACACATCGGTGGTCTCCTACATCAATCGGCAGGGGGGTCTGCATTCGCGCCCCTTGTACAAGCTGGCGCGTCAGATCCTTCTGTGGGCTCAGGAGAAGCTCCTCTCGCTAAGAGCAGTTTACATCCCTGGGTATCTCAATCAGGGGGCAGACATCCGAGGTGGTGGAGCTCTTCTGGAGGGAATTTGGTTAGGCGGAAGTGGATCTATTTGCATCGCAGGAAACAACACACTGCCCGCTCTGGTTCTCCCTCACGCATCCAGCTCCACTGGGGCTGGATGCCATGGTACAGACGTGGCCGAGGCTTCGTCTGTATGCTTTCCCCACGATCGCTCTGCTCCCGGGAGTTCTGGAGAGAGTACGCCGGGATGGGGTCCGTCTGTTGCTAGCAGCCCCGTTCTGGCCGGCCCGAGTATGGTTCTCGGACCTGGTGTCCCTCCTCGACGGCTCTCCGCTGGAGATTCTGATCAGGAGGGACCTCCTCTCTCAGGCGGGGGGCACCTTTTTTCACCCCCGCCCGGAGTTATGGAAGTTGTGGACGTGGCCCCTGAGGGGGCACAGCTCCTAGCATCTGGTCTCTCAACTGAGGTTGTTGAGACTATACTCCAGTCCAGAGCTCCCGCCACTAGGAAACAGTACGCCTTAAAGTGGAAGCTTTTCACTTCATGGTGTGGACAGCGACTGCAAGACCCAGTCAACTGCCCAATTGGTACAGTTCTGGAGTTTCTGCAGGAGCGATTCTCCGCAGGGTTATCTCCCTCCACTCTGAGGGTATATGTGGCGGCCTTAGCTGCTTACCACGCCCTTCTGGGTGGTCAATCACTGGGAAGACACCCAATTATCACTCGTTTCCTCCATGGCACCCTGAGGCTGAGGCCGGTACAGCGCACTAAGGTGCCCTCATGGGACCTGGCTGTGGTTCTGGAGGTCTTATGCAATGCCAAGTTGCTCACGCTCAAGACTATCTTTCTCCTCACTATTTCCTCACTTAAAATTATCGGGGATCTCCAGGCATTTTCTGTTTCGTGCCTGGAATTTGCTCCAGGCATGGTTAGGGCATTCCTTTACCCGAGGGTTGGGTATGTCCCTAAGGTGCCCACTTCTTCACCAGGGCTCATAGTACTTCAGGCATTCTGTCCTCCTCCGTTCCAGGAAGTAGGCTAAGAAAGGCTTAGTCTGCTCTGTCCAGTTAAAGCACTAGACGCTTATGCACACAGAGCTGCCTCGTGGCGTAAAGCAGATCAGCTGTTTGTTTGCTTTGGTCCGCCAAAGAAAGGATCTACGGCGACCAAGCAGAATATGAGTAGGTGGATGGTCGAGGCCATCTCACTAGCCTACAAGTCCTCTGGCCTTCCGTCACCTATGGGGGTCAGAGCGCACTCAACCAGGAGTATGGCGGCCTCCAAGGCTTTCAACTTGCGTGTGGCCTTGCAGGACATTTGTGCTGCGGCGGGCTGGTCCTCTCCGCACACTTTTGTCCGTTTTTTACAACCTAGACCTGGCATCTACCCCAGGTTCCCAAGTTCTCTCTTCGTGATGTGCTCGTAAGATACACACACAGGCAGGGATTTGGTAGTTTGGCGCAGTGGGTATTCTCGTTCCCAAAGCGATCTCGACGCAGCTCGAGTTCCTGAAGGGGAACGTCTCTAGGTTACGTATGTAACCCGAGGGAACGAGACGCTGTGTCTCTTTGCCATACTCCCAGCATCCCTGCAGGCGCTAATTCATCGAAGCTGGTTTGCGCTCTGCAGGATGCGCTTTTATACTTTCTGGTGCATACGTCACCCTGCTCGTGACGTCTCGCTATTCCATTGGGCTGATTTGACACGTGCTTCAGAACGCGGTCATGCAGGGGTGTTCCCAAAGCGATCTCGACGCAGCGTCTCGTTCCCTCGGGGAACCATGGTTACATACGTAACCTAGAGATGTTTCTGTGACATAATACATAAATGGAAATATTTGGGATTGGACAAGCCTGATCCACAGCTTTTGTGCTTATATTTCCTTTCTGTTACAGACTTGCAGGCTGCAATCTCACTGATGAATGCTGTAAAAGTGTGGCATCAGTTCTACAATCATCAAACTCCCCTCTGAGAGAGCTGGAATTAAGTAATAATAACCTACAGAGTCCAGAAATAAGGTTATTGTCTACTGGACTGGAGAATCTACACTATGGAGAGCAGAGGTTTGTGGTATTCAGTAGTAACATGGTACTGACACAATACATTGACCTATCAGTGTCTGCCAGTGCATTGTGTTTTTCAATTCATTGGACAACCACTGCATAGTAATTAGACATTTTATGAAAATACAATGAGGAATTTTTGCAAAGCTAAATGACAATTGTTCTTTGTGTAGATTGGCTGTCTTAGATCAATCCTTTCGAAGTTTGAATTCATCTTCTCAGAATTTTGGAGTGGAGATGATTTTTGTTGGACTGAATAGTTCACAATGTCAACTGGAGAAACTGAGGTATTAAAAATGGCTTTATGAAATTAAAGATGCACACATAAGACATAGGATGTTGTAAGCTATATTCAACAGAAGATAAGGAGTAGGAGACTACTTCAATAGAGGTGGTTCTACAGATTATAGGCTAGGTGTGCCTCCTCATTTCATCCACCAAGTCCACCACATGACACTGCACTTTAGGGAGACATGTAAGGAGAAACGGGTCACGGAGTATGCAGCCACCACTGGATAGGACCAGTGAGCTGCAGAATTCTGTGTTGCTTAGTGAGGGAAGTTGCCATTTAAGTCAGAAGTTCACACAGGAACACTTGATAATTAATGACAGGTATATATTGGAACAGGATTTAAATATAGTTTAAAATATATAACCTTACAAATAAATGTAAGCACACTGCCTATTTAACACTTTTACTTTTTTTGTTGTTTTGTTTAGATTGGGCAACTGCAGTCTCACTGATCAATCCTGCAAATGCTTGGTCTCAGCTCTAAAATCATCAAACTCTTCACTTAGAGAGCTGGACCTGAGTAAGAATGACCTGAAGGATTCAGGAGTGAAACTGCTTTGTGCTGGACTGAAGAGTCTAAATTGTGTACTGGAGATACTGAGGTATTTAAAAACATTACTTGGATTGTAAGAAAGTTACAAGAAAAGTTAAAGTTAAAGAAAATTTAAATTTAAGTTATGAAAGCATTACATTTGTCCTTGTCAGTGTCCTGACTGCTTGAAATGTATCAGCAGACCCAAGTTTGTCTTTGTTCATGTTTGCTCTTATATTCTATTATTAACCTTTATTTCACAGATAATTTTTTTTATTAGCATGACCTTAATTCTTGATTACAATAATGTAAATATATGTACAATTACACCGAAATGTACTGTTATATCGTTGGTGTCTTAATAGGCTTACGCTGGTAACACATCAGTGGACTTTCCTTGTACATTTTCAACAATATAGGCTATATTTGTTTTACACCTTTCTCATTCTTACTAATTGAAGAAATTATTTAAACACGTTGCATTTGTATCACATAATTAATTAGGTCTGCCCCTAAATTTTACAAGATTACGTCAGAGCTTCATCAAATGTTCAATAGCATCATTGACAGGGCAATCAGATGGTTGATGCTCTTGCCACTTTGGCATGAGGTGTATCTAAGGTTTCGTTTAATTTATGTTTTTTGCACTTGTATAATACAAGACTGTAAGTAAGCCGCAAATTATTTATCTTCCATTGATGCAATCTCAAAGTTTTAGAAGTTAAAAACATAAGTGAGGCAAAGAGAAGGGCATTTACAGAGTACTTAATAGCCTATTTCTGTGTTAGTTAGGCTACTACTGAGTCACTACTTAGCTAAACATGTAGGCTAGCTGTTTTTTGCCACAGGATGAGATCTGTGAAACAAAAGCCTATGGTTTTGAAGCATTTTCAGGGCTTGCATTTTGGTGCAGGATTGCAGGTATTGCACATAATTTTACATTATAATTTACTTCATAATTTTACTAATTCCTGCAAGTTCCACGCTTATAATGTGAGAAATTCCCACAAACATTTCAGCATCAATGACACTCGGAGCAGTTGACGGAATGTATCTTCATGTGTTTTTAAGTCTTGCCAGTTTAAACATTCACAAATTTTTAAACCATTCAAGCACAATAAGCAGCAAAAGAGTACTGAGTTCAGTACTCACACACTCTCTGAGAGTCGGTTTACTGTATGCATGCACTCAAAGCCCGCACACATAAAGCCACTTCTCAGAGAGCTCATGAATACTGAACTGACTAGAATGATTTTGATTAGCATTTTAGTGTTCATATTAGAGGGCATTCTCAACTTGTTATATTTTACAGTTTGTCAGTTGATATAAGACTTTGTAGGCTTTGCATACACATGTAAACCCCTCAAAAGCCTGGAACCACAGAGCCTGACACATAACCCCTGGGTACAGTATATGCCTAAACTGTGGTTGACAGCAAAGCATTACACTAGATCAGCCGCTCATAATCCAGGTCCTGGAGGACCCACAACTCTGCAAATTTTGTATGTCTTCCCTAATAAAACACACCCGATCAACTCATCAGCTCATTAGTAGGTACTTCAAGACCTGAAATGGTTGTGCCAGTTGAGAGAGACATCCAAAATATGTACTGTTGGGGGTTCTCCAGGACCAGGTTTGGGATCCACTGCTCTAGATGAAACTGTGGATAAAATTAACAATAAAATAAATGACAAAACAAACAATCTGCTAAATAAACAGTAGGCCATGTCTGTAATCAAATACTGGAAAGTATATGACATAAATCAGTATGTTGTCCAAGCAATTCTGTTGTCCACAATGTGAGAACATTACCTTGGAGTCATGCCTGGAGTTTGTAAGGAGACATACTAGGGTCTTGCTGCCTGACCACAGCTAGAGAAACTTTTTATACTGTGTGACATTACCTGAAAAGTTGTCGAGACTCTTTGATCTGACCTAGACTAGAGATGGTAAAAGGTGATTTGTGTGTCTTTGTAGATTATCTGGCTGTATGGTGACAGAGGAAGGCTGTTGTTATCTGGCTTCAGCTCTAAGGTCAAACCCCTCACACCTGAGAGAGCTGGATCTGAGCTACAATCACCCAGGAGACTCAGGAGTGAAGATGCTCTCTGATCTACTGGAAGATCCACACTGTAAACTGGAGAAACTAAAGTATGTTGGGCATTCAGATTCACATTTTCCTGTGTTTATGTGGGTGTAAAGCAAAATAAGTGTGTATGTGTGGACAATAAAACATGTAAATTAGGGATGTCCCAAGCCAATCTCAAGGATTGGGATCGAGGCCGATCAAGCATTTTTTTTTTATGGCGGTGCGTGAGTGTTTTCTGTAATACTTTGCTTGTAGATCTGTTGTTTAAATTATTACTTGCTGCTAGGAAGGAATATTTTGTTCTCTTTTTTATTTCTACTTTGTTTTTTTCATTGTAGTTTGTATTTTTGATTGCACTTACTGGTAATTATAATAATTGACCTCGGCTAAGAAGGAGCCTGTGCTATTTGCATTGCTCCCTTCCTGCACTTAAGTGCGAACTGTAGTTTCGATTTGAGCAATTACCCTGCAATAGGCTATTGGCTGTGCTAATTAGAACGTGGCCAAAGCTTTTTTCACGTTAGTGTCTTAGACTGTATTTATTTGAGGTCTGTGCGCTGACATGGAAGCTCCAGGGGAAGCGTTCAGCCCTCCTGTTCAGTCTCCTCATGTTAAGCCCAACGAGTGTAAAGACCTGCGACTGTACCTGCGCGAATTCACCGAGCAACGAAACTGGCAATGCACAAAGGTATTATTTTTCTTCCCTTTACACACTCTCCTTTTCTGTCCTCTCTTTTCCACCTCTATCATGTGTTTCCAAAACATTCCGGTTGTCTCTCGACAATGCTCTAACGTCACACGCAGACGGCAACACAATCTTGCTAACCTGCATCCTATCTCTACATCCTCTACTGCACCTCTTTCTTTCTCTGTGGGTCTCTGGAATTTTCAGTCAGCTGTTAACAAAGCAGACTTAATTTCTGCTTTTTCTTTACAATCCATACTCCGCATCTTGGGCCTGACTGAGACCTGGATTCGTCCAGAAGACTCAGCAACCCCAGCTGCTCTAGCTAACAATTTCTCTTTCTCTCACACCCCCCGTCAGGTTGGCCGGGGTAGGGGCACTGGTCTGCTCATTTCTAACAATTGGAAATACTCAACCCACTCTCTCCTATGCAATTATAACTGATTTGAATCTCATGCGATTACTGTAACAGCTCCTATAAAACTCCAGGTTGTGGTAATTTACTGCCCTCCTAGGCAAATTCTAGCCACCTTCCTAGAGGAGCTGGATGGGCTGCTGTCCTCATTCCCGGAGGATGGCAGTCCACTTTTAGTCTTTGGTGACTTCAACATTCATCTGGACAAGCCTTATGCTACAGACTTCCATTCACTCCTTGCTTCATTTGATCTCAAATGACTTACCACTACAAGCACGCACAAATCAGGCAACCAACTTGACTTAATTTACACACACAATTGTATTGCAGACAACATTTTGGTAAAACCCCTACATATCTCTGACCATTTCTTCATTACATTCAAACTACATTTTGCTACCTGTGTGCCACCAACCCCCATACCGGTTACTTTTAGACGAAACCTAAGCTCCCTTTCCCCCTCCCATCTTTCCTCCGTAGTATCCTCCTCTCTTCTCTCACCTACCCATCTCTCATGTCTGGATGTGAATGCAGCAACTGACACTTTATGCTCTACTTTAACCTCTTGTCTAGACAATATTTTTCCTCTCTCCTCCAGGCCAGCACGGGCTGCCCCTTCTAACCCCTGGTTATCCGATGTTCATACCTATCAACCCTCCCGTTTTTCTAGGGATTCTCCCGTATTTTACCATTCTATGCCGCTATCATCCTGTTTAAATATTTTCCTGTATTTATCCCGTATTTTTCATCTTTCTATAAAAAAATCCCACTGGGCGAATTTTATATGTTTGCTACATTTGCCTCTGGTAAAACTCTTGTAATGGTCCAAACCTCATTATATGAATAATCACGTCAACAAATTCTAAGGTTGCCCAGTTGCCAGATCTTGTATGAAACACATCCTTCTCACACAATCGAGACAAATTTCAACTTATTTGTCCCCTCAACTTGGCAACCTATAACAGTGATGAGTACCGCGGAAAGGAAAGGATCACTGGTAGAAATGGGACGGGAGGAGAAGACTCAGATGGTGCTCTGGTGAAAAAAAACAAATTGTAGCGTCTGGACCAATCAAACACACAATATATATTTTGT